TTTTCCTTTTTTTTTTTTTTTTGTCTCATTTGGACTGTGTCTTATTTTTAATGAGCCCTAGTAGTAAGCACCCTAGTGGCACTGAAGGCTAACACCATGGTTGCCAGTTAAAACCCACTACTGCTCCTCAGGAGGATATAAAGAACTACAGCCTCAGCAACCCTATACAGGGTCACTGTGAATTAGAATCGGCTCGATGGCAGTGGGTTTTAGTGCAGTGATCGTGTGACTTAAGCGTTAGCTGCTCATCACAAATCCAGCATCTCAAACTCACCAGCCATTCTGAGGACAGGAAACAAGGCTATCTGCTCTTGTAAAAGTGGATAGTCTCAGAAACCCTACGGAGCAGTTCTACTTTGTCCTATAGGGTTGCTGTGAGTTAAGTCTCTTTTTTTTCCTTGAAAAATGTATTGGACACAATTACGCGCCAAGCTTCGTAGGTAATCCGGGCATCTCGCACGAGCGCCGAGGTGTTCACTGTTGCTGTCGTGGTTCGATCGCTAAACTGCGTCGTCGCTGTGTCCCAGAACATGGGTATCAGCAAAACAAAGACCTACCCTGGCCCCAACTCAAATAGGAGTGAATTCAAATAGTTTCAAAGAATGACCACGATCACTTCAGTAGAAGGTAAACAGAATTTGGTGACTATGGTTTGGAAGACCTGGTTCTCCATTCCTGAGAAGACTAGACCTTTGAAAGGACCTGGTTCTCCATTCCTGAGAAGACTAGACCTTTGAAAGACGGAGTTAACTTGGTTCTCAGTAGAACACTCCAGGAACCCCCATAAGAAGCTCATTTACTTGCCAAAAATCTGGATGATGGCTTAAAACTTGTTGAGCAGCCAGAATTAAGGAATAAAGTAGATATAGTTTGGATAGAAGGCAGTTTTGTGTACAAGGATGTCGTGAACCAGCAGGCCATGTTAAATTGTTTGTGACAAGGATCATACAGGAATTTGAAACTGACACATTTTTTCCTGAAATTGATTTAGAGAAATACAAACTTCTCCCAGAATACCTAGGTGTTCTTTCTGATGTCCAAGAAGAGAAAGGCATTAAGTACAAATTTGACATATATGAAAATAATGATTAATATGAAGCCATCTCCTAATTTACTTCAAGTTGCTCTCTTCCTCTACAAAGAACTATGTATTTTAACAGGAAAAAGATTTTGTTGGCTTTGGATCTGTGGATAATTGTTTCTAAGCAATGTTTTTGGTTTTTTCCTTCATCAATCCTAAACAGACTATCAGATATCATTGTAAAACAGTTCTTCTAACTACCAAAATGCCTTTCTCTCACAGGCCAGGATTGGGTCTATACTTGCCTACACATACAGGCACATTTGCTAAGACAGCCTAAAGTGAGAGAGCCCGTGATAGCATGAGTTAACATCAAGGCCTATAGAGATAGGAGTTAGATTGTTGTTGTTGTTATGTGCCGTGGAGTCGGTTCTGACTCATAG